TTCTTCTTATCTACATTTCCTCTCTGTCTTCACCCTGGGTTTATGAACTCTGTGTACACTGATCACTTTTAAATTTATATATATCTAGTCCTTTATTATCTGAATTCAAACTTACATATTCAACTACCTAGTTCCATATTTACTTGATTGCTTAATTAATCATAACATAGTCGAAAAACAAATTCTTGATTTCTGGTCATCTTCCCTGGTTCTCTTGGATCTCAGTAAACTGCCGTTCTTTCATTTGCACAAGCTAAAAGCCGTAAGTCATCTTTGACTCCTATGTCCTTTCATTCACTCCTTACCCTATTAGCACATTATCTTGAAAAATTTCTCTACAATTTTCATGTCATCTTTTTAATTGCATCAGCTTGGTTATTGTGTAATTCTTTGTGATGTCATTCATTTATACTTTTGACTTGGGAGCTGTTTAGCCTAGAACCAGGAAAGGGGTAGAGTCTGAAACAGAACTGATTTGTTCTGCTCTGCATTTTCCTACTTCCTCAAAAAGAAGAAAAAAAGAGGTGGCAATCATTATAACACTTTGCTGTCACTAACTATATCAAAACATATTTGGTTTACTGCCATGTTAGACCAGATAAAGACAGGCATAAAAGTAGTTGTGATTTTACATGTTCAGCCTTTAGGGTTTCTATTTATGTGCCACTCCCTATCAACCGCATTTACAAATGGTGCTACTATAGATATCTTTGTGGCTTACAATGGTCCTAAAAGCAAATTTAATGCTAATTATTACCATTAAAATATTTTTTGGGGGGCAGACATCTGGTTTTAAAGTGGCAGTATAAAAGCAAGCTGATTTCACTCTCCCCCACAGAAAACCAAAAACATACAGAGCTGTGATTTTCCCCACCAACAGTCCAGAACTCAGATATGACGGTGAGACAGACCCTAGGGCCATAAAGAAAACTTTTTGGAAAAAAACTGCAAGGAGATGGCAGGAGAATTGGACTTTCACATCTGCCATGTTCCCCTACCCATTTAGCCCAGCAACAATTGTATGAAAAGGAAATGCTCATTGGAGCATTTTGGATTTCAGATTTTTAGATTAGGAATAGTTTATGTGGTATGTATTCTGCAAATATTTAAAAACCTGAGAAAAATACAAAATACAAAATACTTTGAGTCCCAAACACTTTGGATAAGAGAGACTCAATCTGAATGTGAAAAGTTCTTAACAATATTTGTCATTCAGGAAATGCAAATTAATGCCAAATGAGATAACGGTATACATTAACTAGAATGGTTGTAAACAAAAAAAAGCAGAAAATACCAAGTATTAACAAAGCTATAGAGAAATTGGAATTCTCATATATTGCTGGTGGGGACATAGAATGGTACAGCTACTTTTGAAAACAGATTGTTACCTTCTTTAAAATTACATTCAAACCAAGAATTCTATGCATAGAAATCTAACCAATATAAATGAACATATATTGACACAAAGACTTGTATTTTTATAGTAATAGTATTTATAGTAGTCAAAGGCAGAAACAACCCAAATGTCTATCAACTAGTGAGTAGATAAATAAAATGTGGTAGATCCATACAATGATTTTTATTCTGTGATAAAAAGGAATGAAATACTGATACATTCCATAACACGGAGAACCTCACAACCATTATGGCAAATGCAAAAGACTACATTGTTAGAAGGCAGAATGGTGGTTGCCAGGGGCTGAAGGAAAAGGAAAATGGGAAATTTGTGTTTAGTGGGCATAGCTTCAGTTGGGAGAAATGAAAATGTTCTGTAGATAGAGGAGGAAAGTAACCATTATAAAAGTAGGCCTAGAACATTCTTATAACAAAGGCCTACTCTCCAGGAAAAAGACATTACAATGGCCTTATCCTATATAGGGGAAGGACAGTTTCTGCAACTCTAGCTCCCTCTCTAGCCTTTCTGTCCCACCTACTGGGATGAAGGGAGAACCTAAGAAACCTAGTAAAAGTCACAGCCCAGGGACACAGGCCAACTAAAAAACTGAAATTTAATCATAAGACTCTAGAATGATTCTCTTCCTTCACACTTCACCCCCATATCAATCAGGCTCTACTATCATAATGGAATTACAGCTGAAGGAGCTGAAAAGCACAAGACTCTCTTGAAGAGGAGTCCTTAGGAAGTGTGACAGTTAATATTGAGTGTCAACTTTATTGGATTGAAGGATGCAAAGTATTGTTCCTGGGTGTATCTGTGAGGACATAGCCAAAGGAGATTAACACTGGAGTCAGTGGACTGGGAGAGGTACATGTAGACCCACCCTCAATCTGGGTGGGCAGAATCTAATCAGCTGCCTGTCACAGCTAGAATAAAAGCAGGCAAAAGAACGTGGAACAACCAGACTTCCCGAGCCTTCTGGCCTCCATCTTTCTCCCATAGCTGGATGCATCCTGCCCTCGAACATCACAAGTTCTTCAGCTTTTGGATTCTTGGACCTACACTAGTGGTTTCCCAGGGACTCTTGGGCCTTTGGCCACAGACTAAACGCTGCACTGTTGGCTTCCCTACTTTTGAGGTTTTGAGACTCGAACTGGCTTCCTTGCTACTCAGCTTGCAGATGGCCTGTTGTGAGATTTCACCTTGTGATTGTGTGACTAATTTGAAGATTTAAATCTAAGACCCAAAACCATAACAATTCTAGAAAATAACATTGGAAATACCCTTCGAGACAATGGCTTTGGCAAATACTTCATGACCAAGAATCTAAAAACAAATGCAACAAAAACAAAGGTAAGAATATGGGACTTAATTAAACTAAAAAGCTTCTGTGTGGCAAAAGAAATAATCAGCAGAGTCAACAGACAACCCACAGAGTGGGAGGAAATCTTCACAAACTATGCATCTGACTAAGGACTAATATCCACAGTCTTCAAGGAACTCAAATCAGCAAGAAAAAAAAAAATCCCATCAAAAAGTGGGCTAAGGACATGAATAAACAGTTCTCAAAATAAGACATTCAAATGGCCAATAAACATATGAAAAAATGCTCAACATCACTAATGATCAGGGAAATACAAATCAAAACCTCAATACACTACCTTACTCCCGCAAGAATGGTCATAAGCAAAAAATAAAAAAAAATAATAGATGTTGGCATAGATGTGGTGATCAGGGAACACTTTTACACTGCTGGTGGGAATGTAAACTAGTACAATCACTATGAAAAACAGTGTGGAGATTCTTTTTTTTTGAGATGGAGTTTCGCTTTTGTTACCCAGGCTGGAGTGCAATGGCATGATCTTGGCTCACCGCAACCTCCGCCTCCCGGGTTCAGGCAATTCTCTTGCCTCAGCCTCCTGAGTAGCTGGGATTACAGGCACGCACCACCATGCCCAGCTAATTTTTTGTATTTTTAGTAGAGACGGGGTTTCACCATGTTGACCAGGATGGTCTCGATCTCTTGACCTCGTGATCCACCCGCCTCGGCCTCCCGAAGTGCTGGGATTACAGGCTTGAGCCACCGCGCCCGGCTAGAGATTCTTAAAGAACTAAAAGTAGATCTACCATTTGATCCAGCAATCCCACTCCTGGATATCTAGCCAGAGGAAAAGAAGTTATTATGTGAAAAAACACTAGCATACACATGTTCATAGCAGTACAATTTGTGCAAAAATATGGAACCAACCCAATGTCCATCAGTCAACGAGTGGATAAGGAAAATGTGGTATATATACATATCACGGAATTGTAGTCATAAAAAGTAATGAAATAATGGCATGTGCAGCAACCTGGATGGAAATGGAGGTTACTTCACCATTATTCTAAGTGAAGTAATCAGGAACGTAAAACCAAACATCCTATGTTCTCACTTATAGGTGTGAGCTAAGCTATGAGAATGCAAAGGCATAAGAATGACACAGTGGACTTTGGGACTTGGGAGAAAGGGTGGGAGCAGGGTGAGAGATAAAAGATTACATATTGGTTGGGAGGTGGAGGCGGGTGGACTGCCTGAGCTCAGTTGTTCAAGACCAGCCTGGGCAACATGGTGAAACCCCGAGTCTGCTACAAATATAAACAGTTAGCCAGGCATGGTGGTACACCTGTAGTCCCAGTTACTCAGGAGGCTGAGGCATGAGAATTGCTTGAACCCGAGAGATGGAGGTTGAAGTGAGCCGAGATCATGCCACTTCACTACAGACTGGGAGACAGAGCGAAACTCTGGCTCAAAAAAATAAATAAAAAAGATTACATATTGGGTATAGTGTACATGGCACAGCTTAGGTGATTGGTGCACCAAAATCTCAGAAATCACCACTAAAGAACTTCTCCATGTAACCAAACACCACCTGTTCGCCCAAAACCTACTGAAATTAAAAAATAATAATGCTGTTATCATCCATTATTTGAAAAACACAAATTTAGGGGGACGGTCAGAGGAAAAAACTATTAACCTAGGAGTCTGAAACCTAGGGTCTACTTCCAGCTTTGGTAACTCTACAAGGCTACATTCATTAGAGGAGATTTGACTAAAATTCCTTCAACTTTTAACACTGAATAACCTTTTTGTGGGGGTCTTTTTTCAAGTGCTGAAGCAGTAGAAACATCACGTAATTACAACTACACTACATCTAGGAAGTGCACTCATTATTACAACTGATTTTAATCTTACATTTTAAAAAAACCTTACTCTATAATTTGAAGATTATCTAAAACTTTAATTTTACATTGCCTCTCGGAGAAAAGGTGCTCCTCATCACAGCCACAAGCGGGAAATTTCACAATCAACACAGCGGCCCTTCGCGAGTCTCTCTTAACGTTAGTGACGCGCGGATCGCTTGGTCGTCTCCTTAGAAACCGCGGCTTGACGGGACCTTTGCAAGCACCGGGACGGGTGCCGGGAAGGGTAGGTGCTCTGAGGATGTCGCGTGCGCCTGCGCGGGTTTCTGAGGTTGTCGCGTGCGCCTGCGCGGGTTTCTGAGGATGTCTCGTGCGCCTGCGCGGGCTTCCGTGCTCCTAGTTAGAGACGCCTGGCTGGAGGACGCAGAGGCACGCTGTTGCTATGGCAGTTTCGTCTTGGCTGCCGCGGAGGCAGGTGTGGGTCTCCGTGGCCTCAATGTGAAGAGCTTAGAAAGACGAGGAGAGAACTCCCCCGGCCATCTCTGTGACCCCAGCCGCTGCATTTTACACAGGCAGGAGGGATATAGAGGGAGAGAGGGGAAGGACGATGCGATAATATTAATGATGGGAAAGAGAGTAAAGGTACCAACGTCTAGTGTAGCTGGGCGGGAAGGTAGGTAGTGACGGAAGAAACTTTCTGGTGGCACCTTATCCTCTACAGTCTGGGGTCCACCGAGTCTGGCCCCGGTGGGGGAAGTCTGGCAACACCTTGCTTTCCTGTGTATGAAGGAAACTCGTCTGAGGGTAGCTTAGACTAAGTTTTTTGTCATATTATTTCCCCTCTCAAAGTTCTTGCATGGGGAGAGTAATAATTTTGTCCCTGGGAGAAAAAGTCACTCCTGAAATTGTAGCGTCCATGAGGAGGCAATGGTGTTCATTTCGTTGGGATCCTGAATGCAGATTAAAATTACCACCGAAAGTTCATATCATCACACTTTGTGACAGGTTATGATTTTTTAAAAATTTACTTATAGGATCACAGTCTTGGCAGGATACACGGGAATAATGGGCCGTTTCATGATGTTATGGATTAGTTTTTGCTTAAGTACTTATTTTATATTCAAGGGCATTCTCTTTGACATGCTTTCAGTTCTTAGATTTTAAACAAGCATATGTTTAAAATGCTGTAAGATGGGAATCAATTATTTAGATTAAACTATTTTTGAACATTCTGAATTGTGGAAGAAAGTTATCAAATTATGTATACATATGTACTTGGCTTAAGATTCCCACTGAAAGATCCACAGTCCACCTATCCACATCAGATTTACGACACTCAGGAATTGATTTCCATAAGTGGTAAATACAGCCACTTACCTATATTTTTACTGATGATAAATGTTGAAATTTAAATGTGTGAACCTCACAGTCATAAAGTAGGAAGTGTTAAGTGATTTTGTTTGTGTAAGATGTATTTTTGTTCTGGCTTGTTGACTGTGTACCATATGGACAGTACCCTGGAGATGAAGATTAAAAGAATTGAAGGGGTTGAATATCCTGTGACGCATTTGAAAAAGGCTTAAGGGATTTGATAACCAGAGTTTGTAATTTATGTTCTTTGTTTACTTGAGAACCAGTCATGAGGATTTTTTTTTTTTAAGTTATAGGAAAAGAATTTCACTCAGATTTAATGCGACTTGATTTACTTCTCAGAGTTACCTTAACTATGGTGTTTTTTCCCTTTGAATTATGGCATAATAGTATGATGTAAAGACCCCTAATCTGTTAAATTTTTAATTACTGTGTTTTAAATTTATTATACAGGTATTATGCTTTCATTTTAAATTTTAGTTTTCATGTGGGTAGAATTCTCTGTAAACAATAAAATATATCTACTAAAGTCTTCAGGCAGCCATTTATTTATGAGTTTGGAACTAGGTTTATCATAAAATAAGGGAAAGGACTGAAGAGTTTCAAAGAAATATTCTTATAATATTTATGTAACTTAAAGAAAGGAAAACTGATCATTCCAAGGCATTGTGACTGTGAAAAGTACTATTTTTACTGTAAATATTTTGCATTACAGTGAGATTTAGTTTATTCTGCATCATTCATGGTACACGTGGTTTTAATTGATTGGCAGGTAGAAATAATAGCTTAATTTAACTTGTCTTGCAGTTAGGAAGTGAAACTCACTCTCAAGTGTTGATTTAGTTTATCAAGATAACTTTAAAATTTGCCCTCAACCTGATTTAGAAATTATTGAAGGGCTTGCTTTTGAGTGTGTTAGCAAATCTATTTTGTATTTTTAGCTTTAAATAAATATCTAGAAGAAATTATAGTCCAACGGAATATTTTAGAAAAAATTATCCAGTTGAACAATTAACAGTTTTTATTCAATAATAATTAAGTCGAGTAATTAACAGTTATTCAGTAATAACTTAGTCTGGCCAAAGGTTTGGGGACAATTAAGTGACGCTAATGGCTAAAACAGTTTGTGGATTATTTATTAATTCAGGATACCTAAAGTGCACCTAAAATTAACTATATATTTGAGAGGGAAAAAAGAACCAACATCAATAACTATCCAGAGAAAATATGGCATTTTAATGAAACAGACTTCAGAACTTTTTTTAAAATTGTACTTTAGGTTCTGGGGTACATGTGCAGATCATGCAAGATTGTTGCATAGGTACATATGTGGCACAGTGGTTTGCTGCCTCCATCCCCCCATCACCTGTATGTGGCATTTCTCACCATGTTGTCTCTCCCCAACCTCCCCACCCACCACTGTCCATCCCCAAGTCCCCCAACAAACCTCGGCACATGATGCTCCCCTCCCTGTGTCCATGTGTTCTCATTGTTCAGCATGCACCTGTGAGTGGGAAAATGCAGTGTTTGATTTTCTGTTCTTGTGTCAATTTGCTGAGAATTACGATTTCCAGATTTATCCATGTCCCTATAAAGGACAGGAACTCATCTTTTTTATGGCTGCATAGTATTCCATAGTGTATATGTGCCACATTTTCCTTGTCTGGTCTATCATCTATGGGTATTTGGGTTGGTTCCAGGTCTTTGATATTGTAAACAGTGGCACAATGAACATATGTGTGCATATGTCTTTACAGTAGAATGATTCATAATCCTTTGGGTATGTACCTAGTAATGGGATTGTTGGGTCAAATGGAATTTCTATTTCTAGATCCTTGAGGAATCGCCACACTGTCTTCCGCAATGGTTGAACTTATTTACAGTCCCACCAACAGTGTAAAAATAGAACTTTGTTTTAAGTCTTGAATTTAATCATTCAGACACTGATCATTTGTTTTAGATTAAGCTTTATCATACTACTATGCATTTGCTTTTAAATTCTCTTGCTCTTCCTGAATTGACAATTGCTAATTTGCATCTTATGGAAAATAAGACTCCTAGCGTTAAAAAGAATCTTAAAGGTCATGTAGCTCAATTGCTTTTCTAAAGCTTGTGTCCTTTAAAATGTTCCTTCCACAGTCCTCTTTGGGGCTATGTATAAACATTTATATTTACAGGAAATGCAGTACTTCTATAGGCAGCTAATTTCACTCAGGACAGGGTTGAAAATGTAAGTTCTGTCTTACCTTGTGCCAAAGTTTGCCCCTGAGTTTCCATCCCTTGGTACTAGTTTTACTCCTTGAGATTATGCAAGTCCATTTCTCCTTCAAAATATTGTAAAGCAGTTGTTCTTAATTTTCTCTTCTTTAGGTTAACATTCCCAGAGTTTTCAATTATTCCTCAGTATCTACTTTAAGGATTTTACTCTTCTTTTTCCTTCTCTTTTATGTTCCTTTCTCCTGGTTTGCTCGCCTCTGAATGTGTTCTAGTTTGGTTTTTGTTTTCTAAACTCTAGTAAAAAAATCTGGACACGATACTTCATGTATTATCTATATGTCTCAATCTTAGTGCTCATTTACATTTTTAGTATCCTCATCATTCTTTTAACTCATTCTTTTAAAATCGTTTTAAAACTCAGAGTTTAGTGAACTCTACTGTTCACTACACCTGTTAAAATATTTTACACACAGTATGAAAAGCCTTATCTCTGCTTGTCTAGTACTTGTGCAGGTAGTTGAAAGATACTGTTCCATATGGCTGCACTATCATTTGATGGTGAACTATGGGAAGAAAAAATGTAAATCTCTCTTTTGTAAAATTGTATCAGATTAGATAGTCTGGGCAAAGATTTGGGGACAGTAAAGTGAAACTAATGGCTAAAACAAAGTTTGTGGATTATTTATTCCGTTATAATATTTCTCATTTTATACCTTTAAAAATGTGCCTATGTCTCATGTGTTCTTGACATCTGGACTTTCTACTTCCAAAAATAATATTAGGCAAATTAGTCTTGATGCAGGAGCAAGGTAAGTAAAGTATAGAAACAGGGTCTCAAGCATTTGGGCCCCTGTAGATCTGATTTTTGCACTTCTTTTGAGATTGGACCTAAAATTCTATGAAAATTTAGAAGGCATTGTTCTTTTTTAAGTCAATAGTTGAAAGTATACGAATTATTGCTGTGTATTTCTACCTTGGTTGATTTCATGGCAGTTACATCTACGTTAATAATTTTCCCCAACGTTTTTCTCTTTGGAAAGATAATATGACATCAAACTGACCCTCATACTCTTTCCAGACCCTTCTTCAAAACACACTATGTTCAGGCCATGCTGTACAGTCCCATGTGCTTCCGTGTTTGTTTATTCTCTCTCATGCTGTTCTCTTTGCTTGGAATAATTGATGAACTTTCATACTGGTATTCAAACTCCATACCAGCTTCCTTTGATAGTTTCAATTTTGTATTGAGTTACTTGTTTTTTAAATTCTTCCTTACATATCCTTTATTCCAATTGTCTACATTTTTATTTATGCTTTTTATTTAGCTTTGTCTTCTCTAGCATACTGCAAGCACCTTCAGGTGCTTATGTATCATTATGAATATATATAGGAAAATAGTAGGTGTTCAACAAATGTTCATCAAAATTTCTTTGATGGGCTGGGTGCTGTGGCTCATACCTATAATCCCAGCACTTTGGGAGGCCAAGGAGGGTGGGTTACTTTAGGTCAGGAGTTCAAGACCAACTAACCAACATGATGAAACTTAATCTTTACTAAAAATACAAAAATTTTCTGGGCATGGTGGCACCCTCCTGTAATCCCAGCTACTCAGGAGGCTGAGGCAGGAGAATCACTTGAACCCGGGAGGCAGAGGTTGCAGTGAGCTGAGGTCATGTCACTGCACTACAGCCTGGGCAACAGAGTGAGCAGAGTGAGAGAGATTCTGTCTCAAAAAAAAAAAAAAATACACACACACACACACACACACACACACGGAAGGCTCACACAGATATACAGACACATTATAGGTAAAGATTTATATGTTCCATTTGTTTAAAAAGTTATATACAGAAAAAAAAAATAAAAGGCCTAGGAACTGATTTAATTAAAGGATAATTTTAGCTTAGTTCTTTCAAAAATGCCTGAATTCATATACCACTTTAACACATACACACACACACACACACACACACACACACACACACACACACATACTTTGTCACCTGGAACAGAAAAACAAACATTTTTACCTTTCATCTGACAACTCTATTTACTGTCACTCACTTCTAGATTGTATTAGGTATCATCACAGTTTTTTTTTAATGAACAAAATATTTAGAGTTGACAAAAGTTTGACTCCTGTGGAAATCAGTATTCATCATATTTGAGAATTGGTTGTTATTAAAAAGCTCTCATATCACAAATTATAATTATGCCATATAAATTACTACAAGGTTTGGGAAACTGAGGATGGGAACTGTTTTCATTTGAACATGAAAAAATGTTAGTGGGTGAGATTAAAAAACTAAGTTGTCTTCTCTGGCCTGAGCAAAGGTTTTAATGATTGGCAAAGAATATGGAAAAATCCTTTTCTAAGCATTAGTCTTTTATCTACCTTTTTTAAGACTCCTTATATATCAGAGTTCAGGTAATTAGGGGAAGGTGGGAGAGTTTTTAGGAATGTCGACCTATGGAAATGTCTTGCCATTGCAAATCTCTCTTTTATGATGTATTCAGGTGCATGTTCATTTTGAACATTCCATTTTGTGTTTCTGTGTGTTAATTAGCTTACCTACAGCATTAATTTCCATGCTCCATTCTTCTTCTAGGGTGAACATAATATATGCCTTACCTTTTAAAATCTTATAGCATTTTCTTTCACAAACAGAAAATGAATGAAAATAAAGATTCTGATTCAAAAGAAAGTGAAGAATACGAAGATGACTTTGAAAAGGACCTGGAGTGGTTAATTAATGAAAATGAAAAAAGTGATGCCAGCATAATAGAGGTATATATTGCCAACAGCATTCATAATAATTATATTACAAAATGCTTTGCAGTTCTTTAAGATTTCCACGTCATTATCTCATCTAAACATCACAAAATTTCTCTGATGTACATTGGGCAAATTATTATTATCCTCATCTTAAAGATAAGAAAATTGAGGCATCGATTGCTTAAATGTTGTATCATAAGGCATAGGCCAGGTTAGTGAGAGAACAGTTATTAGGTTAGCATTTAATAAAACTAAAATGACCATTATAACATAATTTCAATAATAGAAATAAATAAATGGCAAAATCATGATTTATTGCATTGAAAGTAAAAAAATACAGTTAATTCCTACTTTCTGTGAAATTGGGTCAAATAGGGTTATGCTATTAAAATAAATGAAAAATAAAGCAAATCCTCTACACACATGACCTTTTAGCTAATATTTGAAACTTTAAGACTGAATTAGCTATTCTTGGCAATGAATATAGAGAAAAAAGTAAAGGGTCAAAGTCTGAGTCACAGGAATAGTTATAGGAAAAAGTGGATCCATTAAGCATGGTTATATACCATTTATCAGAGATGTGGAAGGGAAATCCAGGAAAATTAACCAGTTCTTACATCATGGTAGGTTATTTCTCTCTCTCTTTACATATGTATACTGTGTATGTGTATTTCTATATAATGTATATATGTATATATGCATATGTATGTATGCATATGTGTGTGTATATATATGTGTGTATGCATAAGGTAGTATCAATAAGTAGGTCAGTAATAAGGAAAAGGACTAACACTGGGATAAAAATAGGTGACTTCCGAGGGATAATAATGATCAGAGTTGTTAGAGCAGAAGCCAGTTTTAAACATGTTAAGGAAAAGACTATGAGGAAATGCAGGTTTTATATTACAGATTTCTTAGTTCCATTTTGCTCTCTTATATAATGGAAAAGACAAACGGGAAACACAATATTTGAAGATGGAAACAGAGTCAAAAGTGAAGATTTTTCTAAGATGGCTTTTAAATGAGAGTTTTATGCATCCTAATGGAAAAATAAGCAGAATGAGTAGAGGCAGATACCAAGAGTGGTAAGGTTGAACCAATTTCTCCAGACTGGAAGGGTGTGAGTTCCAAAGCACAGAGTGATAGAATTAGAGAGGTAATAAGGATGATTTATTGTTTCATTTTCTAATCCAACACATTTTAATGATCACCTATCATGTATCAGAGGCTATGTGCTAGGGATATATAGAGCAGGGATAAAATAAAAGTGCTGTCATGAATCTTACACATTCTAGTGGATGATTATGATAACCTCTTCTTTTGAGACTTTGGGGAAAAGGAGGTGACTGAGCTGGAGACACATAAGAAAGTCAGGGGAAGATTTATTTGTAAAAAGTGGGTTTTCAAAAGAAGAGAAATAAAAGCTAAAGGAGAGTTCAGAAACAGAGACTATAAGAATGAACCAGAGATCTGCCATCCTCCTGATATTGAAAAAATAAAAAAAGAATTAACCAGAGAATCAAATAAGGCTAAAATGAACAATTGTGATACAGAGATCTTAGTTAAATCATAGTTATTTGGCAGTCATTTTAATGGGCCAGGTTTATTTCTCTGTAAGACATCTATCAGACAAGATGACCTTCCCTATCACATAGGATGACCTATGAGCAAGTGAAGGAGGAAAGTGATTTTAAGGGGTTGAAGAGAGTAGCATGTAGTAGCTCCCATAGAACTGCTTTAGGATAGGTGGGAGAGAACTGTTTGACAGAGAGAGAGAGAAAGAGAGAGAGAGAGAGAGAGAGAGAGAGAGAGAGAGAGAGAGAGAGAGAACTGTTAGAGAAAGAAAAAGAAAGAAATATATGTATTTATAAAAGCTTTTAGTTAGATACAGCAGAAGTGGAGTAGAGTTTTGTGCTGCACTGATACTGATTTATGGTTCATGTGGGATTAATTTTTTTAAGGCCAGGTTATCTCATAGGTAGTTAGCATGGATTACTGAAATCTCTGAGCATAGTTGAAGAAGGAAAATCTGATCTAGAGATAAAAATTGACCTGGAATTTAGATAAGTCTTGCAGGTTATCATGACAATAATAGTCTGAAAAGATTTAAAAAACCTCACGTGATTAGGACTTGACCAAATAATTCATCCTTGAAATGGTCTGGGGAGAAAGATGTTTGATTGAAGATTGCAAATATTACAAGGAGGAAACATTTTTGAAAAGTTTTTCTAAAATATAAATAAAATTTTATAGGGGAAGGAATATTAATATTATTACTTGTGGTTATCTTTTGATACATTGGCATAAAAATGTTTAAAAATTGGCTGGGCTCGGTGGCTCAAGCCTGTAATCCCAGCACTTTGGGAGGCCGAGGCGGGTGGATCACGAGGTCAAGAGATAGAGACCATCCTGGTCAACATGGTGAAACCCCGTCTCTACTAAAAATACAAAAAAATGGCTGGGCGTGGTGGCTCAAGCCTGTAATCCCAGCACTTTGGGAGGCCAAGGCGGGTGGATCATGAGGTCAAGAGATCGAGACCATCCTGGTCAACATGGTGAAACCCCGTCTCTACTAAAAATACAAAAAATTAGCTGGGCATGTTGGCGCGTGCCTGTAATCCCAGCTACTCAGGAGGCTGAGGCAGGAGAATTGCTTGAACCCAGGAGGTGGAGGTTGCGGTGAGCCGAGATCGCGCCATTGCACTCCAGCCTGGGTAACAAGAGCGAAACTCCATCTCAAAAAAAAAAAGTTTAAAAATTAGTGTAGTACTTAACTACATCAAATTCAAATTTAAAGTTGAATTTTTCCTGAACTGTTGTCAAATATTTCCCTTGGATACTCATAAGTATGAATTAGAATGTTATGAGCAAATTATGAGGAAGAAGCATTAAATTTTGTCATTCATAAAATAAATTACATGAACAGGAAAATACCATTTTCTGTCTACTTATAAATGAATCTCAATTTTGACTGAAAAATATCTTATTTTTAGATGGCTTGTGAGAAGGAAGAGAATATTAACCAAGACTTAAAAGAGAATGAAACAGTAATAGAACACACCAAACAGCTTGCTGATCCTGACAAATCTTTGCAGGATGAGATCTCACCAAGAAGAAATGACTTCATTTCTGTACCAAGTAGTCAACCTTCAGATCTCATATCAGATTCAGATAGTGAAAACTCTTTCCAGGAGCTCAAAATAGAAAGCCAGAAAGACTTGGAGGATGAAGAGGATGAGGAAGTGAGGAGATATATTATGGACAAAATTGTACAAGCTAACAAGCTTCTGCAGAATCAAGAACCTGTGAATGATAAAAGGGAGCGGAAACTTAAGTTCAAGGACAAATTAGTTGATTTGGAAGTTCCTCCGCTAGAAGACACTAATACTTACAAAAATTATGTTGAAAATGAAAGGAATATGTTTGGAAAACTGTCACAGTTATGTATTTCCAATGATTTTGGACAAGAAAATGTGTTCCTGTCACTTACTAATGGAAGCTGTGAAGAAAACAAGGATAGGACAATACTGGTAGAGAGAGATGGAAAATTTGAACTTGTGAATTTACAAGACATTGAGAGTCAGGGATTTTTGCCTCCTATTAATAATGCAAATAGTACAGAAAATGACCCTCAGCAGTTGTTACCGAGATCTTCCAATTCCTCTGTCAGTGGCATCAAGAAAGAAGATTCTGCAGCAAAGATTCATGCTGTCACTCACTCATCAATAGGAGAGCCGCTGGCTTATATCCCTCAGCCACCGCTCAACCGCAAGACTTGTCCAAGCTCTGCTGCCAACTCGGATCGAAGTAAAGGGAATGGGAAATCTAATCAAAGGACACAGTCTGCACATATCTCACCAGTGACCTCAACATACTGTCTTTCCCCTCGACAGAAGGAACTACAAAAACAACTAGAACAAAAGAGAGAAAAGCTCAAAAGAGAGGTGAGAACCTAAGTGGGCATTGTATTAAAAGTAGAGGATGTTTTCCTGCTTTGTAAATGCAATGGGAATTGAAACAGTTGTTCAAACTATTGGAGATTTTTTTGCTTGCTTTATATATCTATCGTTAGATTAAGTGTTAAAAATATGTACTTATGGAATGAACACTGTGATTACTTTGGTCCTTGTAAGGATCACAAAGAATAGTAGACTGACCTGTGTTAGTGGAGATCTCAGTGATGACTTCATCTGATCCTTTCATTTTAAAGGTGAGACTCAGAGACGTTAAGTGACTGCTGAAAGTAATCTTGATATGATAGTTGAAAATAAGATGTCAGATGGAAGAATGAAGGCCCCAAGTGTAGAGGTTTAAGAGACAACAGGAAGACTTGGACTATAATTATTTTACTTGCATATGTTTCATATTATCTTCTATGCTTACAATTCCTTTATTTCCAGGATTTTAGTTTTAATTAAGAATATAGCCTAATATTGTTAATGAAATGTCTCCAAAATGTCATATGGAATCCCAAATTAAGTGTTTTTGTTTTTCATTTTTGTTCATATGTGAAACTCTATGTATCTTATAATTGAAAATTCCAGGACTTAAACTGTATTTCCAATTATTTTGGTCAAGAAAATGTGCTCCTGTCACTTACTAATGGAAGCTGTGAAGAAAACAAGGATAGGACGATACTGGTAGAGAGAGATGGAAAATTTGAATTTCTGAATTTTCAAGACATTGAGAGTCAGGGGTTTTTGCCTTCCATTAATAATGCAAATAGTATAGAAATGACCCTCTTATATCAGTGCTGCAATTCTTTGTTTTACTGGAAACCTAATGGTATTAAGCTGAGCCATATAAATTGTCTAATTCTAAATACAGTGTTCAGCAGGTAATACATGAGAAGTGACCTCTTACAGATGATTTTGCAGATAAGAAAACCTTAGAAATTTAAATTAACTTTACCAAGGTATATATGTACTTGTTAGTAGCAAACTGAAACAAAAATACCCAGTTCTCTGGCACCCTTGAGAAATGGTGTGCTACTTTATTATTTATATATTTGTTTGTTTGTTTATTTATTTATTTATTTAATTTTTAGACAGAGTCCCACTCTTGTTTCCCAGGCTGGAGTGCAATGGTGCAGTCTTGGCTCACTGCAACCTCCGCCTCCTGGATTCAAGTGATTCTCCTGCCTCAGCATCCTGAGTAGCTGGAATTACAGGCACCCACCACCATGCCCTACTAATTTTTTGTATTTTTAGTAGAGACAGAGTTTCACTATGCTGGCCAGGCTGATCTCAAACTCCTGACCTTAGGCGATCCCCCTGCCTCGGCCTCCCAAAGTGCTGGGATTACAGGTGTGAGCCACCGTGTCTGGCTGTGTTATCTACTTTATATGGGAAATTATCAAGAAAATTTCTGGCATTTAAATCAGAAATTGGCATTAGCAAAAATAAAAAAAAAGTGAAAAATGACTTCATAAGAACATGTAATCTCTAGCACACTTAGACAAGAACCTAAAAGGGTGCATGCTTATAGAGCTTCACTCACTTGGTCACTAATAGCTCTAATAGTGAAACTAAGTTTACTTGATTCAGGTATAAAACAACACTTAATAGCGTAAAAATTTTGTGACAATACAGAATAATTTTTTGAGCATGATATCTATATGTTTGTTGTACACAAACACATATGGGTACATGCATATATTTTTACAAAAGTTATACAGGTGATTTTATGCAGTTGTCACTGCCTTTTTACTAATGAACTGATGTTAGTCTTTAACTGGTGTAAGGGATGGATAATTCTGTTTTCATTTTGATTCTGTTTTCTGAATGACACACACTTTTGTAATGTCCGTATCCTGTAGCTAACTTGTTTCTAGGCATGGTCTTCAGGTACTAAGGCTTTTAACATGTTTTAGTTGGTTTCATGGGAAGGCTTTGCTTTTTTATGGCCGTATTTGCTTGGTTGGGCTGAAATACTCTGTGTTTCCAATGTAAGTGCATCCTTTCAGTGTTCTCTTTGGCAACTCCATTATCAGTGCTTTGGCTGATAGCTTCTGTGTAATACCTAAATGTTCCCTTGGAAAGATAATGATCTTTTATCATACTGTATTCATGCAAGGCATCCAAAGTCCTTTGTGTGAAAAGGAAATGTATAAATAATGTAAAATTTCATCTTTAATAAATTCATTTATATGATATAGATAATTTAGGGCTCAGAAAATAGTATATAGATATTCTCAAATATGTTTTATGCTGTTTGATAGAATTTTTCCGTTCCTCCCTTCCTGCTGATCAATCAATTCTAATCCTTCTGAATTAGAAAGTCTTGCTATATTGTCAAAATGTAAGGAAAACACTTAGAATTCCATTATTTGAAGAAAATTTAACCATAAACTTGTATAAATCAGATTATTTAAATGATAAAATTTTAGTATTTAAAGAGATTTATGATCTCATTAGTGCAACTCCATTATGTAGGTGAGAATACTGAGACAGAAGTAAAGTGCCTTGCCCAAATTGGCACAGTATTATCACGGAAGGATTGTTAGTCAGATCTGACTTCCAAATTGGTGCTATTTCCACTATGCCACGTTGTTTTGCTCCCAGTAGCTATAAATATTTTGTGGTTCTCTATATCTGATTTTGGTATCTCCCTTCAAGTTTAACTCTCTTTTACAACATTAGTCAAATAATTCAGATAAAAAAACATTATTTTTCTTTTATTTTTTCTGAGACAGGGTCTTGCTCTGTTACGCAGGCTGGAGAGCCTGTGTGGCTCAATCATTAGGTCACTGTAACCCTCAATTCCTGGGCTCAAATGATCCTCTCACCACAGCCTCATGGGTAGCTAGGACTAAGGGCTTGGGCCACCATGTCTGGCTATTTTTTTTTTTTTAACTTTATTTTGTAGAGTCAGAACCTTGCTATGTTGCCCAGGCTGGTCTTGAACTCTTGGCTTCAATTGATCCCTTTGCCTCAGCTTCCCAGAGTGTTGGGATTACAGGTGTGAGCCACTTGCCTGACCCATTGTGTTCTTAATAGTTAACCAAGTGCCTAAATATTTTTCTGGTAGCAAAAATGTTTCTTTTTGAATATGAACTACTTGAAAAATATTTTTTTTACATTTTAACAAAAAATTTCAAACATTTAAAAAGGTGCAGTTAACTCCTGTATCCTCATTTCTCAGATGCAAAAGCCACTGAGATTTTGGCATATTTGCTTCATCTCTTCTTTTTTGGCTGTCTAGCAAGACCCTAGACAGCATGTAATATCTCATTTACATACTTTGATATACAGCTCTAAACGTTTTCTTTCATAATCACTATGCCATTTATCACAATTAACAAACAATGTAAAAATGTATAAGACATTTATAGTGCTTCTGGAGTGTGTGTTTTTTCTTTTGCATAGCTTCAATTTGATATATTTAATACCAAAAAGTAAGAAGTAGCTAGAGGAGAGAGCCAAGGTGTTCCTGAACATGTGTGTATTATACATCTATGTACTTGTAGACTTTATCTGTACAGTTTATCTGAAAACTCTTAGTATTTTTCCCCTGTAAGCAGGGAAAAGGCCCTATATTTTAAGAAGGCCAATTTTTTTTCTTTTTCTTTTTTCTTTTTTTTTTTTTTTAGATGGAGTCTCTTTCTCACCCAGGCTGAAGTGCAGTGGCATGATTTTGGCTCACTGCAACTTCTGCCTCCCAGATTCAAGCGATTCTCCTGTCTCAGACTCCCAAGTAGCTGGGATTACAGGTGTGTGCCACCATGCTCAGCCAACTTTGTGTTTTCACGAACATCTTTCTAGATGGGGTTTTACCATGTTGGCCAGACTGTTCTCAAATTCCTGACCTCAAGTGATCCACCTGACTTGGCCTCCCAAAGTGCTGAGATTACAGGTGTGAGCCACTGTGCCTGGCCTAGAAGGAAAATTTTAGAATCAGGGAATCCTAATTTCAGATCTCAAAATCTATCTCTACTTTGATAACTCATACAATTTTATTAATCTTTCATTAATGTCTTTTCATATTCTTTTACTAGGAAGAACAACGGAAAATAGAAGAAGAGAAAGAAAAAAAGAGAGAGAATGACATAGTATTTAAAGCATGGTTGCAAAAGAAAAGAGAACAGGTCTTAGAAATGAGGAGAATTCAGCGAGCAAAGCAAATTGAAGACATGAACAGTAGAGTAAGTAAAACTTCTCTGAAAAATAAGTTCATACAGATACGAAAGCTGAACTTATTTGCAGAAGGAGTCTGATTATCAGACTAACAACCTATGGAAGGAGTAGAAAAGTGGTTCAAGAACTACCCTTGCAAAAGATACAACATACAGATAACTTTACAATTAGGTTCTAAGAGGACTTGTGAAAATAAAATGATTCCTATTTTGTTCAGACTTTGACGGAACAGAAAGTAGAAAATTGTTAATTCATTTTTTTCAAGATGTAACTTTGGTATTCAAACAGGACGAAGATGCACACACACACACACACACACACACACGCACCCCAAAAACCCTACAGGCTCGTCTCACTTAAGACTAGACATATAGAAATCTTATGTAAATCTAACAAATTAAAGACACCAAATTATTTAATTTAAAAAAATTGAAACAAAAATTAAGAGAAAATTTTAAAAATCATTCATATCCTTACTAAAAAAAGACATATATGTAAAGTAAAAGTTGAAAATTAGACCTGAAGCTCTTTCAGACTCATCTCCAGTGATAACCACTTTTAACGGTGTGGTGCAAATCCTTTTATATCTTATTCTATTTATATATTAAATGTCAAAAGTTTTATTATTCAGTTTTTTTCACTTCATAATGAACATCTTTCTAGGCCATTACGTTGAAATCTCTCTTTTCAAATAGCTATGTGGTATTACAGTGTTAATTTATTAAACCCTTCTTCATTTGTAGATATTTAGGTTGGTTCCAATGTTGCGCTAGTTAACAGAGCTGTAGGGAAGATGTACATTCTGTGGGAACATCAGTAATCTGTAGGAGAGATTCTTCAGAGGGCATTTATAATTGTTGAAGGTTTAGAGTGAAACGTTTGGTTGAAGATGCAAAAGTAACCTCCCAAAAGATAATATGAATTTATAGTTTCTCTAACAGTTTGTAACAGTGAATGACTAACACTGCATGTGGTTTATCATCTTATTTTTTTCTTCAAATTAATAATATACATACTTGTATATGAGCATGTGTGAGAAATAATTAGATATAGGTCTCTACCCCTAGTTTTTGGCACAGAGCTCCTAAAACCTTTTTAATTTCTTGAGTGATAGGCGTTCTACATGTATCTCTTGTTCTAATAATTGACCTTCTATCCTGGCTCCTGACACACAGCTCCTAATCCCTTGGAACTTCTTAGGTGATAGAATTCTATTTGTTCTAGTGAGATGACTCTTGGTGGGCTCCTGGATAGGGGCTGGCTGCCAGAAAGACTAAGCCGTGATTAGAAGCTTGGAACTTTCAGTTCTAACTCCTTTCTTCTAGGAAGGGGGAAGGGGCTAGAGATTGAGTGAATAATCTCAATGATTATGTGATGAAGCCTTTGTAAAAATCCCTGAGCTGCAGGGTTCAGAGAACGTCCAGGGTATGGGAAATGTGGTGTTGGGAGGGTGGTGTGCCCCCAAGAGGGCATGGAAGCTTCATACCCCTTCCCAAATACTTTGCCTTGTATATCTCTTCATCTGTGTCTATTATATTCTTTGTTAATAAACTTGTAAATGTGTTTTCCTGAGTTATGTGACTTGCTCTAGCAAATTAATCAACCCTGAGGAGAGGGTTGTGCTCCCACCACTACCCACCCTGGCAATATATAGCTGGTCAGACAAAAGCACTGGTCACAATCTAGGTTTTTGATTGATATCTGAAGTGGAGGCAATCTTGAGGAATTGAGCCCTTAACCCATGGGATTTGATGACAACTCTATGGACATATTATCAGAATTAGTTTAAATTGCAGGATACACAGCTGGTGCTATAGAACTGGTCAATGTTGGAAGTGGGAACCCTCCCCTACTTTGGTAACTAGAGGTGATGTATTCTGTGTTGAGTGTGAATGACAAGGAAAAACAATTGGGTTTTCTAGTTATATAGTGTGTGTATTCTTCTGTAAATTTCCTATTTATAATCTTTTTCCCTTTTAGTTTGGTTTTTCTTATCAAAGTGTATATGAGAGATTTTGATTATTTGTCTGTTATATCTGTTACATATTTTCCTAGTCTGACAATATATTTTTTGTTACAGTGTTTATTTTGCCATTTGTGGAAGTTTTTAGCTTTTAAAATCTTGGGATGGGCAGTACTTTCACAGGCAAGGCAAAAAAAAAACATAAACTAAAAGAGATAATATGGAGAAATTTGACTGATACCATATAATAAAATAATAATATACTGAGTAAGGTTTACTTTAAGAATGAAATTATGGATCAGTAATAACAGATCTAATATCATCACATCAATAAGTAATAAATGAATATTATCTTGAAAGATATAGCAAAGGTATAATTTCTTTTTAAAAATTCCTAATAAAATATGAATTATAAATACTATAATGGGGAAATACTGTAGGCCTACCTGTTATAGTCAGAAACATGTAAAGTTCTATATTAAATAACTGTATTCTGGTGTTTCAATGCAATTCATTAAGAAAAGGAAAGAAGGTAAAAATAATAGGAGTGGTGGGGCCAAGATGTCTGACTAGAAGTGGCAGGGCTCGGAGGCCCTTAACAAAAAAAAAACATAATAAGCGTGTGAATCCTTCACTGGCAACCAAGGTATCCAGGTTCTCTCAACAAAATTGACTAGAAGGCTGGCATGACCCATGGACAGAAGGAAGAGCAGTATAGTACAGTGGCCCACCTGAGAGCTACACAGGGGAGGAGAACCTTCTGCCCCCAGCAAAGGGAGGCAGTGAGTGAGTATGCCACCCAGCAGGGGAAACTGTTCTTTCTCTGTAGAACTGTGCAACCCATGGATCAGAAGATCCCACTCGAAAATCCAGGCCACTGGGGCCTAGCGTCTCAACACCGGAACACACAGATTCTTACAGCCTTTCCGATGGAATCTGCTTAAGCCTACTGAGCTCCCAGTAGGAAAGGCCACCAGCTGGCAGTGAGAATTTCAAGCCACAGAATGGGAGAAAATTTTTGCAATCCCTCTGACAAACGGCTAATATCCAGAATCTACAAGGAACTTAAACAAATTTACAAGAAAAAAAAACTCCCTCAAAAAGTGGGTGAAGTATATGAACAGACATTTCTCAAAAGAAGACATTTATGCAGACAAAGAACATGAAAAAAAGCTCATCATCACTGGTCATTAGAGAAATGCAAATCAAAAACACAATGAGATACAATCGCACGCCAGTTAAAGTGGCAATCATTAAAAGAAACAGCAGATGCTGGAGAGGATGTGGAGAAATAGGAACATTTTTACACTGTTGGTGGTGTAAATTAATTCAACGATTGTGGAAGATAGTGTGGCTATTCCTCAAGGATCTAAAACCAGAAATACCATTTGACCCAGCAATCCCATTACTGGGTATATAACTAAAGGATTATCTTGCAGCACTATTCACAATAGGAAAGACTTGGAACCAACCCAAATGCCCATCAATGATAGACTGGATAAAGAAAATGTGGCACATACACATCATGGAATACTATGCATCCATAAAAAAGGATGAGTTCGTGCCCTCTGCAGGGACATGGATGAAGCTGGAAACCATCATTCTCAGCAAACTAACACAGGAACAGTAAACCAAACGCCACATTTTCTCACTCGTAAGTGGGAATTGAACAATGAGAACACATGGACACAGGGTGGGGAACATCACACACCAGGGCCTGTTGGGGGTTGGGAGCTAGCGGAAGGATAACATTAGGAGAAATACCTAATGTAGTTGACAGGTTGATGGGTGCAGCAAACCATCATGGCACATATATACCTATGTAACAGACCTGAACATTCTGCACAAGTATCCCAGAACTTAAAGTATAATTAAAATAATAATAATAATTAAATACAAGTGAATACTAAATAAAAGGAGCGGACTGCTGGACTGGAAGATGCAAATATATGCCATCTGCACAAGCCACTCTTTAAATATAAAGCCACAGATACATTGAAAGTAAAATATGAAAAAAGGTATACCATGCAAATGGTTAGCATAAGAACACTGGTATGGCTACGTTAATCTCAGACAATACAGACTTCAGGATATGAGGGATGTTTCATAATGGGAAAAGGTCATTCATCAGGAAGACATAAAATCCTAAATGTATACTCACGACACTTAAAATACATGAAGCAAAAGTCAACACAACCAAAAGAGAAATAGGCAAGGGCATGATGATCCATGAATGTATTAACACCACTTTCTCAGTAATTCATAGAAAAAATGGGGGAAGACAATAACCATGCAGAAGTTCTTAACACTATCAACCAACTAGCGCATATTGACATTAATACAACACTACATGCAAATGCAGAATACACAGGTATACAAGTACCCATGGATGGTTAACCTAGATAGACTGTATACATAGATACATTTTCATGTGTGTGTATACATATATATCACTGAGCAAGAGAAGCAAATTTCAAAACTAATGGAAAGACAGTTTTAGCTATTTCTTCTAAAAATGGAAATAAAAATTACATCACCTAAGATCTTTTATTCATTTAATGTAAAACAGTCATTCCACAATCTGTAAATGCTAAATATATTTTTTGGAAACTGTGACTCCCATTATACACAATGTCTCACAGAAATAACATAATGTACTTATTATAGCATTGTATTAATAAGCCACATTAATTAACTACCAAATTATGCTACATTTCACCTTCAGTAGAGGCAGAGTTCATAAAAGTACTTCAGAATACTATTTGTGATACAATTTCTCATTAAAATCTATTTTTGAGATAGACTTGAAATGTAGCAAAAAATACTACATATTCACAGTAAATATTCAAAGGGAAATATATAACCATGATGTCTTATACATAAAATTTTAAAAAATTATTTAATTAATTAATTATTTTTTAAATAAAGACAGGGTTTCACCATGTTGGTCAGGCTGGTTTTGAACTCCCAACCTCAGATGATCCACCCACCTTGGCCTCCAAAGTGCTTGGATTACAGGCATGAGCCACCACACCCAGCCTAAAA